TAGGGACTCAGCATCTTCTGGGTTCTGCAGTCCCTGAATGTGGCCAGTGTACAAGGGAAGAGAGGCTGTGGGTGAGGAATGCAGGAGATGTTGTAGGTCAAACCTGGAGGTGGTAAGCATCACTTCACCAGTGTTCCATTGGTGATAGTCACCTTCTCGTCTGAAAAAACCAAACCATCACAGCCAGCTACAGAGGGACCAAGGAGTTGAACCTGTGGGCTTGGGACCATGGCCACAGGGGACATCAAGCTCAATTGGCATAACATACTACACAAAACATTGTTCTACCTCCTACTTTGGCAAATAGAGACTGGGATCTTAAAAGCTTGCAAGCAGCCATCTAGATGCAATGATGGGTCTCTCCTCATCCAGAGCAAAGATGAAGAAAACCAAAGATTCATGAAACGATTAGTCCTAGTGACTGGTACACCATGCAATCCGCAGCCTATACAACTATGAGACCAAAAGAACTAGATGGTGCCCGGCTACCATTGTCAACCCCTCGAAGGGAGATCTTTGTAGGAGATACTGGATAGACAGGGAGAACAATGTAGAACAAAACTCAAAATCATTTTGGGGACAAAAAAAAAAGATGGGGGGACCAGGTTTGCTGATCTGATAGAGCCTGGTGGAACCACTGAGACTATGGCCCCTAGCTGCCCTTCAGGTCTGGAAGTGAACCCACACCACTGGCTTCCAGCCAAACACAAGAAAGGCATATGAGTTGAACATTTACCTGAGGTAGATACACACCTTGGAGAGAACAACCATGGGAGAAATAAGGGCTGCTTATGCACAGGGAGAGGTCTCAGGGGGCAGGACTGCATGGAGGTAACTATTGGGAGGAAGTGGGAAGGGAGCTGTTGCATTTGTGGTAAATTGTAGTCAATGTCATGAGGCAAAGTGTATGTGAACTGCTGTATGGAAAGTGAATTTGCTTTGTAAATTTTTACCCACATCACAATTAAAAAAAAAAAAAAAAAAGAAAGGAAGAAACAAATACACTGCCATAAACTCAATTCCAACTCATGGTGACCCTATAGAACAGAGTTGTTGTTGTTTGCCATCGATTCGGCCCCGACTCATAGCGACCCCTCCTTGGGTTTCCGAGGCAGTATCACTACGGAAGTAGGAATGCCCAACCTTCCTTCCGAGGAGTGGCTGGTGGGTTTGAACCGCCAGCCTTCTGGTTAGCAGTCAAGTGCCTTAGCCACTATGCTACCAGAGCTCCTATAGAACAGAGTAGAACTGCCCCATATGGTTTCCAAGGTTGTAAATCTTTATGGAAGCCTTATCTTTTTCCCATGGAGTGGCTGGTGGGTTTGAACCACGACCTTTTGGTTAGGAGCAGAATGCTTTAACCATTGCGCCAACAGGGTTCCTCTCTTTCTCAGCTACTTACATGCAAAACCAAAATCAACCAAATCTGTTGCCATTTTTTTGGTTCCTACTCATGGTGATCCTGTGTATTACAGAGTAGAACTTACTCCATAGGGTTTTCTGTAATCTTTTGGAAACATATAATCAGGCCTTTCTTCCATGGTGTCTCTGGGTGGGTTTGAACCACCAGCCTTTAGATTAGTAGTCAATAGCAAACTGTTTCCACCACCCAGCGACCTACACTTAAATGCAAGGGGGCTGGGAAAGTTTAATCAAGGTGCAAGATATTTAATTTAGTAAATCTAGCCAAGGAGAAAGAATGCTGTGACTGTCCAGCTCATTTGTGCCCCAGGGACTTGGGAGCTATAGGTATAAGGTAGTTGTAGTTGATAGTTGTTCTGAGATGCCATTAGGTTGATTCTGATTCATAACAACCCATGTGCAATAGCACGGAACACTGCCTGGTCCTGCACCATCCTCACTATCAGTGCCATGTGTGAGTCCATTGTTGGCAGCCACTGTGGATAAGGTAGTGGATCTGGAAATCAACTGTTCCCGGTTTCATAAAACAAGCCCGACAGATTTTAGGGGTGGGCATACTATGTTCGGCCTAAGGAGGTTCATGTTCATTAGTTTTCAGCTTGCCTTTAAGTTACAAATGCTCTGGTTCCCCACAGCCCTATGCACCTGTTCACATGTTGTTGTTGTTGTGTGCCATCGAATCAGTTCTGAGTCATAGTGACCCTATAGGACAATGTAGAGCTGCCCCACAGGGTTTCCAAGAGAGTAATCTTTACAGGAGCAGATCACCAAATCTTTTCTCCATGGAGCCCCTGGGGTTCGAACCACCAGCATTTGGTTAGTAGCCAAGGGTTTAACCATTGTGCCACCAGGGTTCCTTCAGTTCATTAACTTCCTCTTGTTGTTGTTGTTATGTGCTGTCGAGTCGGACCTGACTCATAGCGACCCCTCCTTGGGCTTCTGAGGCAGTATCAAGATTGCCCCATCTTCCTTCCGAGGAGTGGCTAGTGGGTTTGAACTGCCAGCCTTCTGATTAGCAGTCAAGTGCCTTAGGCACTACACTACCAGAGCTCTCAACTTTCTCTTAGTGGTTCCAAAACATATTTGATGAGGTCTAACCTCATTAAAGGACCAGTATTTGGTGTCTCAGAAAAGGGAGGTAAGAGAGATGGTGCCTTTGAAAAAGTGGATTCTTGGATACTGGGAAAGTTGTGATGGATCCTGGGGGCAGTGGGAGCTTCTGACTTGCTCCCTAGCAGCCCCTATTCCTGAGGGATGGGAAGAAAGCAGGGGCTATGGTTTCTTGCATTTTCACTTTTAAGTCTAGACTCCAGGCACTAGATTCTTGCAATTTTGAGAAAATTCCTGTCCCAAATGTGGGCACAAGTTCGGCAAGAAGCAGTAAGTTCACAGGGCACATAGAGGCCCCGTGAACTGGGACAGTATGTTTCTCAGTGGTTACTGGTGTGGGCTGATGATAGGGATCAGCTTCTCCCTTAGGACTAATTAAGACCCCAAGACCTTTGTGCATGTATGTATGTTAGTATGTGTATGTGTGTTAGTTGGACATGAGGCTGGAGTGGCCAATAATGACTGAATAGGTTGGACTCTCAAAAAGAGATTTTGATGAAAAGATTTTAATATATATTTCTTGAACACCTGCATTAATGGACTGAACATTCAATCCGTTATACCTGTTAAACCATTCAAACATGTCCTGATCCAGCTGAAGCAACGGGTGGGTATTATTAATATTTTTTAAGGCAAGTTGAAGTGAATCCCTTCAGGAACTAGAGGCCAAATTAGGTAGTGATCCTACCAAGGTAGAGGAACTTGGGCAAACTCAGGAAGCTGATTCTTACTATATGGGCAAAGGCAGCAAAGACCATTTGACTCGTCTCTCCAGCTTCTTTATTCTACGACCCATAACGACTCAGCTCACCTCAAGGTAGAGAGCCCAGGATCCCATTTACATTTTCAGAATGACTTACTTAATACCTAGTAGAAGCAAGTCTTTGTGCTTAATTCTGTAGAAAACACTGTATGTCAAGAGTCTGGGGTTATTTCCAAATAGGTGAGAGAATTATGAAAGTAGGATTTCTAAAGGGAGGGAAGTTGGGGAGAGACACCTGGGAAAGATCTGTATTTAGAAAGAGGAAAAGGAATTTTTGAAACAAGCAGAGAAAACAGAGAAGCCAATGAGAGTGATGAAGATTGCACAGGAAGGGATGGCCAAAAACTTCAACTGTATCATAGAGATCAAGGAGAAGGAAGATTGGAAAAAAGTGATTAGGCTTGGAGGGTAGAAGGTAACTGAGAGCTTTTAACACAAATTCCTTTGATCTCTGAGAGTGAAATTAGGTGTCATAAAGTTTGAAAAATTAGAGGCACTGAGTACAGAGATATGGAAGAGACTAGAGTTTCACTGAACACATTACTTTTGTCATTCTTTCTGACTGACCATTGCATCTCCACCCTTCCCTGTCTCCAAAACCCAAACCCAACCCTACTGCTATCAAGTCTATTCCGACTCCTGGAGCAACCCATGTGTTACAGAATAGAACTTCTCCATAGGGTTTTGTTGGCTGTAATCTTTATGGAAGCAGATCACCAGGCCTTTCTTCTGCAGTGCCACTGGGTGGGTTTGAACCGCCAACCTTTAGGTTAATAGTTGAGCGCAAACTATTTGTACCACGCAGGGACCTCTAGGTCTGTTTTATTCTCCCTCCACCCACCTCATTAATTGACACAAACTTACTGTGTACATCCTCAACACCTCAATTTGTGGGGGGGAGGGGGAGGAGCAAATGGGAGGCCTGGAAACAACAAACCGGGCACTAGTGAGAGTGATTTTTATTCCTTGCTGACTCTTTTGATTCTTGAGCGCTCAGAAAGCCTGCATAGAAGACTTCTTCCCAGTTGACCTACTGAATGAACCCCTATAATATACAAAAGAGGAGGCAAAGAATGTTAGCACCATAGAAAAATTGGTCCATTAAGTATTAAATTGTAAAATGAATTGGCGATCATAAACTAAAACACTAACTTTAGTAATGTGAAGAGTTTAAGTGTGACTTATGCTGCCACCCCCAGAAAGTTCTGATATAGTGTTAATAGTTGGTTTGTTGTCATTTTATTTTAATTAAGGACAAATCTTTTGAGTGTTCTGCATGCCCTTTGTTTGCTGGTGAGTGAATAAGGTAGCAACCACACTTGAGAACATAGACTGGAGGAAACGATACTGTTTTTCCTTAATTGGTTCCATTACTGGGGCCAGTGTGGTATTTGGGTGTATTCTGCATGTTAGTCAGAGTCTTCTGATCGCTGATCTTTTAGGTAACATGAAGTAGTAGCTAAATCCAGATCTTCCTTGTATGAAGTTGAACATAATGAAGCATTTATTTCCACGTTTTGTTCTGAACTTAAATTGGGTAAGTAAGTGAAATATGGATCTTGTTCTGAGTGTTGGCCACAGGACGGAGGAAAATTTGACCTCATATTTTCTGATTGCAAGTCCTTTGATGGTTGGCCTCCAAATTTCGTGTACCCTGGTGTGATGTCTCTTATCTGTGTCCTGTCTACTTGCAGATCTTTTTGTGTCACTCTGGACTGAAGGTCTTGTTGGAGCTTGTCTGGACACTGACTGTCTCGAGTTGGACCTTCTTGTAATTGCTGACCCAGGTTATGTCGGGCGATGGCGTGCTGGGTTTGGGCTTCTTGGTATAAAGCTCTCTGCCTTAGGGCTTCTTTCTCTAGCAGATTTTGGGATTGCCAGTTTAAGGAATTCTGCGTCTCAAATCTCCATTCTTGGGCTTTCCAGTCTTTGTTTCTCCAACTTTGAGTCATCCAGTCTTGGGGTGGCTGCCAGATATACTGCCAGCCTTGGGCTTTCCAGTATGAAGACTGCATTTCAGGGTGTTGCCTGTCTTGAGATTCAGGGATTTGTAATTTCCAGTCTTTGCATAGATCTTTTGGAGCTTTCTTCTCTTGAGCTTTCTGTCCTTTGGCTTGGGACTCTTCAGGCTTTTCCTTTGGGGGCTGTTGCTCATCAGCCTGCTGACATTTCTCTGGAAGCTCTGGGGGCTGCTGATCTTCACCTTGCCCAGTTGGGAACTCTTGCTTCGGGGATTGCTCCTCGAGGGTCTGTTGGTCTTCAGCTTGTTGCTCTGGAGGCTGTTGCATTGTCATCTGCTTATTGCCAACTTGCCGACTTGAGGATTGTTTCCTTGGGGATTGCAAACTTTTACTTTGCTCATCTAGGGATCTCCTCTTTGGGAATAGCCAATCTCTTATTTGCTGGTCTACAGATTTTCGCCTTGGCGATTCCTGGCCTTGACTTTCCTGATCTAGGGATTTACGCTTTGGGGGTTTCTGGTGTGGGCTTTGCTGGTCTAGGGATCTCCTCTTTGGGGATTGCCAACCTTTGCTTCTTTCTACTAGGGAATGTCGCTTTAAAGACTTCTTGCCGTGGAGTTCCTTCTCAGAGTTCCATTCTTGAGTCAATAACAAGACTTCTGATCTAATATCTTGATATAATAAATCTTTAAATTGCTGATCTGGGGACTGTGCAGCATGGGATGTTGGGACTTGCTCTGAAAGCTCCTGGGATGGTGTATCTTGGGATGATGTATCTTTGGATAGCGTGTCTTGGGATGGTGTATCTTGGGATGACGTGTCTCTGGGTGGTGTGGTTTGGAGTGGTATGACTTGGGATGGGAAATCTTCAGATGATATGTCTTGGACTGGCATGTATTCAGATGCCAGGACATGGGACTCTACGACATGAGATGTTGGGCCTTCATATAGCTGGGCTTGGGACAGCGTGTCATGGAAAAATGAAACTTGTGATGTGGGAACAAGGGGTCCTTCAGTTACTTGGGATTGGGCTTCATAGACTCGAGTTGTCAGAGAATGGAGTGGCAAGTCTTGAAAAAACAAAGCTTGTGACATAGAGGCAATGGGCCCTTGAATTTTTAGCATTTGAGATCCTGGGACTCGAGAGTGCAAAGCATAGGCTGCAGAATCTTGAAAAAGCAAAACTTGGGTTGTGGGAACAAGGGGCCCTTCAATCACCAGTGCTTGAGGTTCTTGGATTCTAGATGGCAGGGCATAGGATGGCAAGTCTTGGAAAAACAAAACTTGCATTGTGGGGACAAGGGGCGCCTCAACTACCTGGGCTTGGGATTCTTGGACTCGAGTGGATAGGGATTGGGATGGTATATCTTGGACAAACAAAACTTGTGATGTAGGGACAAGAGGCCCTTTAATTTTCAGGGCTTGAGATTCTATGAATCGACATGGCAGGGCATAAGATGGCAAGTCTTGGGTTTTGTGGAAATCAGATTTTACAGAATGGGATGAAAAAACTTGGAGTGGGAAAGTTTGGGCCTGGAGCAATTGGATTTGCATTTTGGGGGGTTGTAGGTCTTCAGATTCCACATGTTCAACTGTATGGCCTGGTTGAATGCATGTAATGTTTCCTGAGGACTTTTTCTCTAATATGGGAGGCAGAGGTCTCAGCTCAGTATCTTCATCTGGCACAGGTGCAGAAGGTGTATAGTCAACTTTCCTTTCTGGCTGTGCCTTGGGTTGGACTCTTAATTTGAAGAAAGCATAGCCTCCGAAGAAAAAGGTGTGTGTGTTTGTTGTTGTATCACCATTGGAAGATTCTTCTTGAAGCTCAAATTGAAATTGGGCATTTGGTTCTGGAGCAGGCAGTTCGTTATTTGGAGTAACATCCGAAGGCAAGAAAAACACAATCTATAAAACCGAGCAGGAGGGGGAGGAAATATTAATATGACAAAATAATCTTTTCTTCTTGTATTCCTAAATTATTTTTCATCCCTGCCTCAAGGCAACCAAAAAAAAAAAAACCCAAACTCACTGCTGTCGAGTCGATTCGACTCAGAGACCCCCTCCTTGGGTTTCCAAAAATAACATCTAGATTAAGAGACAGAAAATAAATATCACTTCTGCCCTTACCACCAACTCATTGGTTTACATTGGTTTTGTTTTGGAAAAATTATAACCACTCATCCTCTGAAATATTCTTTAGAGGAATTTAAATATGATTATCTGAAATATTCCTTCCACACTTAATATTATACAACTTCTAAGACAATTTAAGGGAGCTCTGGTAGCATAGTGCCTAAGGCATTTTGCTGCTAACCAGAAGGCTGGTGTTCAAACCCACCAGCCACTCCTCGGAAGGAAGGTTGGACAATCTACTTCTGTAGTGGTACTGCCTTGGAAACCCAAGGAGGGGTTGTTATGAGTCGGGTCTGACTCGACAGCACATAACAACAACAAGACATTTTTTAAAGTATCCACTCAATAATTCATACATTTAGTGTTAATCTATAATTATTTATTCGTCACCTACCAGATAAGCTAGGAGCTGAGTATCAAAGATAATTAGATGCATGTCTTGCTGTTACAGTCTTCACATTTATGGGTGGACCAACATATAGACAACAACAAATGCTTTTTAGTAATCGATACTAAGTCTTTTATGGGAACATAGATGGTGACATAATTCTCAGAGCCAGGAAATACTTCACAGATATGGTGACATTTGACCTAAGTCTTGATGAATGACTAGGTGTTCTTCAGGGAGGAAAGGGTAACATGAAGTAAGATAGGAGTCAAAATTCAGGCAGGGCAACCAGCGGAAGCAGTGAGTGCAAAAGCAAGTTTGTGGTACAACAGGATGTGATGGCAAATGGTAAGTAAATATTGTTAGATGGTTTGCTAGGCTAGGAAAATCAGGCTTTCCCTTACTGAAAAAGAGTGTTTTAAACAGCTAAATGACAGCATCAGGAACTACCTTTAGTTGATGCCCCCAATTGTCCTCTCCTTATTTATAGCCCAACCTGCTAATTTTTTTTCAGCCTGTGCATTGATGGGGTCATTTATAGAATCACAATAGACTACCTGCTCCATTTGATTAGGAGTCTGAGTGATTAAGTGACTTAATTATGATTACCTACGAGTTCTGATGGTGCAGTGGTTAAAGCATTCAACTGCTAACCAAAAGGTCCACAGTTAGAACACACCAGCCACTCCATGAGAGAAAGATGTGGCAGTCTGTTTCCATAAAGATTTACAGCCTTCGAAATCTTATGGGGTAGTTCTACTCTGTCCTATAAGGTTGCTGTGAGTTGGAATCGACTTGATGGCAGTGGGGTTCAGTTTTTAGTTTAATTGCTTGGAATATCTTCACAACTGGACCAATAAATAACATCAAGGTAAACAGAAAAAATTGAAGTTATCAAGGATTTCCTTCTTCTTGGATCAACAATCAATGCCCATGGAAGTAAATAATCCCACAGCATCCATTCATGGCATAATGCACACAAGTAGAGATTTATATGTTGGGGATATAACCCTTACAGTACACCAGTTTCTTTCTGAGTAAAAATTATAATGCTCCATTGTGCTCCTGGGTCATGTTTAATTAGGATAGAATTTTGTCCCTAATACTGGTTTCTAGTTTTCCTTAGTAACTCTTCATAAAAGTCTGCAATTCTGGAATTTATCTCAGAACACATCAGAAGCTCTTGAGGCCAACTTCAATGATGTATTGCATTGCTGCAAAAGGCTTATGAAGGGTTAAAAAGCAAAGATATAATTTTGATGACTAAAATGTGCATGACCCAAGCCTATCACCTCATGTATATGCAAAAGCTGGACAATGAAAAAGAGACATGGAATAATTAATGCATTTAGATTGTGGTGTTGATGAAGAATATTAAACGTACTATGGACTGCCAGAAAAATGGACAAACCAGTCTTAAAAGAAATACAACCAGCATGCCCCTTAGAAGCAAGGATGGTGAGACTTGTTGTCATCAGGAGGGACCACGGTACCATGGCAATGGGAGAAAGCATTGCAGTTTCAACAAATAGTGCTGGAACAACTGGATATGTTAATGGGGAGTGGTAAGAACTTTTAACTCTCTCTCACACTATACACAAAAATTAACTCCAAATATATTGTAGGCTAAACATAAAAGCTAAGAATGAGAAGCTACCAGTAAAACATACAGCTGAAAATTTTTATGATCTTGGAAGAGAAAAAGTTTTGTTAGAATACAAAATTGCACTTCATCGAAATTGGACAACTCTGCTCTTTGAAAGACATTATTAAGAAAATGAAAAGGCACACCACAGACCAGAAAAATAATAGCAATTCTTAGATCTGAAAAAGGGCTTATATTAAGAATCAACTAGACTCTCACAATTCAGTAATGAGAAGATAAACAATCCAATGAAAATTGGCTAAAGATCTGAATGGACACATCTCACAAAAAAATGTACATATGGGCAATAAATACATAGAAATATTCTCATCTTTGTTAGTCATAAGGAAAATCCAAAGTGAAACAGAATGAGATACTACTACCTACTCACCAGCTCACTAGAATGACTGAATTATTAATGCAATGACAAAACAAAATACTGATGACAATATGGAGCAACTGCAACTCTCACATATTGCTGATGAGAATGCAAAATGGCACAACACTTTGGATAACTGTTTGGTATTTTCTTACAAAGTTAAACATACACTTGCCATGTTGTTGTTGTTGTGAGATGCTGTCGAGTTGGCTCCGACTCATAGCAACCCTATGCACAACAGAACGAGACACTGCCTGGTCCTGTGCCAGCCTCACAATCCTTGCTATATCTGAGCCTATCATTACAGTCACTGTGTCAATCCATCTCATTGAGGGCCTTCCCCTTTTTTGCTGATCCACCACCTTACCAAGCATGATACCCTTCTCCAGGGAATGGTCCCTTCTGACAACATGACCAAAGTAGGTGAGACAAAGTCTGGCCATTCTCCCCTCTAAGGAGCATTCCAGCTGGACTTCTTCCAGGACGGATCTGTTAGTTCTTCTGGCAGTCCATGGTACTTCCAGTATTCTTTGCCAACACCACAACTCAAAAGCATCAACTCTTCTTCATTCTTCCTTATCCATTGTCCAGCTTTCACAGGCCTATGAGGAGACTGAAACACCATGGCATGGGTTAGTTACACCTTAGTCTTCAAAGAGACGTCTTTGCTCTTCAGCGCTTTAAAGAGGTCTTTTGCAGCAGATTTGCCCAGTGCAATGCGTCATGTGATTTCTTGACTGCTGCTTCCATTGGTGTTGATTGTAGAACCAAGTAATATGAAATCTTTGACAACTTCAATCTTTTCTCCATTTATCATGTTGCTGGTTATCAGTCCAGTTGTGAGGACTTGGTTTTCTTTATGTTAAGATGTAACCCATACTGCAGACTGGTGTCTTTAATTTTCATCAATAAATGCTTCAAGTCATCTTCACTTTCAGCAAGCAAAGTTGTGTTGTCTGCATATTGCAGGTTATTAATGAGTCTTCCTCCAATCCTTCCTCCATTCTCTTCTTCATATAGTCCAGTTTCTTGGATTATTTGCTCAGTATAGATTGAATAACTATAGTGAGAGGATACAATCCTGACACACTCCTTTCTTGATTTTAAACCATGAAGTATCCCCTTGTTCCATTCGAATGACAGCCTTCTGGTCTATGTACAGGTTCCTCATGAGCACAATTAAGTGTTCTGGAATTCCCATTCTTTTCAATGTTATCCATAATTTGTTATGATCCACAAAACCAAATACCTTTGCATAGTCAATAAAACACGAATAAACATCTTTCTAGTATTCTTTGCTTTCAGCCAAGATCCATCTGAATCCAGCTTGCATTTCTGGAAGTTCTCTGTCAATATACTGTTGCATAAGGTATTCACTGGCCAATTCTTTGAGAAGTGGATGGCCCCTTCCTTTTTCCAAGTCTTTCTTAAGTCTGGAAGCTCCACTAAAACCTGTCCACCATGGGCAATCCTGCTGGTATTTGAAATACTGGTGTCATAGCCTCCAGCCTCACAACACGCAAGCCACCACAGTACAACAAACTGACAGGCAAGTGGTGTACAGTTACCATATGACCTTGCAATTGAATCTTAAGTTCCACACTCCCAGAGAAATGAAAACATACAGCCACAAAAAGACTTGTATTCAAATTTTCATAGCAGCTGACTGATAATAGTCAGAACTGGAAATACCCCAAATGCCAATTAAGAGGTGAATGGGTAAACAAATTGTTGTTGTTGTTGTTGTTATGTGCCATCGAGTCAGCCCTGACTCATAGCGACCCCTCCTTGGGTTTCCGAGGCAGTATCACTGTGGAAGTAGGATTGCCCAACCTGCTATTCAACAAAAGGAATGGACTATTGATGTGCTCATCAGCCTGGATGAATCTCAAAAACATGTTGCTGAGTGAAAGAAGCCAGACACAGAAGAAGACTTAAGATTCCACATATATGAAATTTTGGAAAGTCAAAATTAATCTACGATGACAGATGAATTGACTGAAAGGGGCTTTAAGGGAACTTTTTGAGATCACAGGAACGTGCTGTATCTTGGTTGTGGTGTAACATAACAGGTATATACAGTCAACACTCATTGAATGGGTGCATTTTAGTACTCATTGTGCTAACCCAAGCCATGGTATTTTAAGTCATCTCATATGCCTGTGAAAACTGGACAATTTGTAAATAAGGAAGACTGAAAAAGGGTTTATGCTTTTGAGTTGTGGTGCTAGCAAAGAATGTATTCATTTAATACTCATGGAATTGGTGCTTATAAGTTATTCTTCTATAAAGTTGCTTGTAACTAAGGTGCTGTGATGGTGAAATGGTTAAACCCTTGGCTGGTAGCCAAAATATTGTCAGTTAGAACCCCCCAACTGCTCTGCAGGAGAAAAGACCTGGTGTAAAGATTACAGCCTAGGAAACTCTGTGGGGCAGCTCTACTCTGTCCTATACGGTTGCTATGAATCAGAACCGACTGGATGACACACAACAAAAACAACAGAAATTTATACTGCTATTTAACAAAAGAAGAAGAAATGGCTGAAACTGGGTCTGGAACTGGTACTGTTAATTTTTAGAGGTGTTATTGAACTTCTCTTGCCTTTATGCCATGATATGTTGAATAAAGGTGCTATAATAGTTTTGCTAAGATTGAGTTGATGCTAAGTGGTTAGAACAATGACTGACATACTAAGTATCCATTAAATATTAACTATCACTATTCATCATTGTAAATTATAGTAGTATCACTGTTAATATTTCCCCTTCCTTCTTTTTCTCTGGTGAGAAAATTGTCCCACATGCTCTGATGACCCAAATCAAAGTTCCCCATGTCACAGTAACTTGAGTTCCCATACATATTTTGGCCTGTAGATAAGGAGATAGGTCTGAACAGAGGTGACTATGAATAGCATACAGAGCAAGAAAGGGAAGCATAATAGTCTCCAAGACTGAGATAAGCCTTTAGACTTAATCTTGCCCATGCCACCTCCTAAATTTAGAACTTTCAGTTCAGTATAAATGCACGCTACCCTACTCATTAATAGGCAAGAGGTCACCGTGGAGGGTTCCAATAAGAACCCACTTTCATATCAACACAGAACGCACCTCATTTGACTTTGTCCAACACGTGTTTCTAAAGGTTGCAATGGTCACAGAGATGCTGAATTCCGCTATGCTGGCGATCAGTAAGACTGACAAAATTCCCTGCAAATGATGAAGAGAAAGAAATGGTACTTGGCATGAAAGTTATATCAGTTTAGAGATATATGCTGAGAATCCCTTTTACTCTATGACTAAGTATGGGAAAGGAGCTCAGGTGGTGCAGTAGGTAAGGCATTTGGCTACTATCCAGAAGGTTGGCAGTTCAAACCTGCCAGCTGCTCCATGGGAGAAGGACAAGGCAATCTACTTCCGTGAACACTCACAGATGCTTTAATCTCAGGTCAAACTCAATGGGGGTCGCTGTGAGTCAGAATCAACTCGATGGGGTGGAAGTATGGGGAGACCCCTTCTTTAGATGCTTCTGTAACTGTTGGAGACTGCATATTTTTCACCTTCGGTCTTCATGATAAAGCAGGGATAACAAACTCCAATGGATAGTGGCCAGGCCATTCTAAGTGAGTGAAACAGGTTTTTTTGGGGGGTGTGAGGTGGAGGAATATAGGCACTGCTAGTAGCTCTGGTAGCCTAGTGCCTAAGGTGCTTGACTGCTAACCAGAAGCCTGGCGGTTCAACCCACCAGCCACTCCTCAGAAGGAAGGTTGGGCAATCTATTTCTGTAGTGATAATGCCTTGGAAACCCAAGGAGGGGTCGCTATGAGTCAGGTCCAACTCGATGGCAAGTAACAACAACAACAACAATGGCCAATGAGGAGCTCTGGTAGTATAGTCCCTAAGGCACTTGACTGCTAACCAGAAGGCTAGCGGTTCAAACCCACAAGCCACTCCTCGGAAGGAAGGTTGGGCAATCTACTTCTGTAGTGATACCACCTTAGAAACCCAAGGAGGGGTCACTATGAGTTGGGTCCCACTCAACGGCACACAACAACAACAGGAGGCATCCATTACTCAGTTCCAGTCAGTTGCTGCCATGTAGAGACACAGACCACAGGAAAACTAGTCTTTTTTTTCTTTTTCTTTCATAAGGAAGCAGGATGTATGGTTTTTGGTTTTTTTTTTAAATGTGGAAGCTTCCAATTATTTATCCGTTTGTGAGCCAAATAGAATGTATCTGCAGACTAGACTGAGCCCACACACAGATGGTGGTTTTTTCACACTCTACTTTAAGGCGATGTTTGTGTGGAGAAATAGTGTGGTACTAGCAGGGCATTCAAGAAGCTCAGACACCGTGGCTGGAAGAACAGGGGACAGCTTCCTGGGCAAATGTGACCTGAGCTAAGGGATTGACCCCTCCGAATCTCAGTATCTCCAATTGTAAAATAAAGACTATCTAACGATAGATTTACTGTGTGGATTACATGTCTTTAAAAGCACAGCACTATGTCTGGCCATAAGAGTCATTGAATAGACACTAATTTCCCTTCCCTCATAGATGCTAATGTGGTTTTAGCTATCTGGTGGCTTTGCCCCTGCAACGTAGCCAAAAACATGGATATTCCCCCATTGGTTGGTTAAACTGAAATGTATGAAGTGCCTACTCTATGCAATTTGCTGACTTCAACCACTGAACAAGACAGAGATGGTCCTGGTCTTTGTGGAGCTTACATTATAGTAAGGGAGACAAATAGTAACAAATAATCAGATAATTATTTACTTAATTAAATTGTGAAAGGTACTATGAAGAAGTACTATACTCCTAAGAAGTATTTAGGAGCTCTGGTAGTGTAGTGCCTAAGGCATTTGACTGCTAACCAGAAGGCTGGTGGTACAAACCCACCAGCCACTCCTTGGAAGGAAGGTTGGGCAATATACCTCCGTAATGATACTGCCTCGGAAACCCAAGCAAGGATGGGGTCACGATGAGTCGGGTCCGACTCAACGGCAAAATAACAACAACAACAACAACGGCAGCAGCAGCAGCAAGAAGTATTAGGAATGGTACTGTAACAGGAATCTGACCAGGTTTGCCTGGGGGAGGAGAGAGATGTGGTCAGGAAACAAAACAAACAAAAACCTAAACCCACTGCTATCAAGTTGATTCCAACGCCTTAAAGAAGTGATGTTTGACCTGAGATTAAAGCATCAGGAAGAGTTAATTAGGTAGAAAAGGGTGGACACTGGGTTGGGAAGCATTCTAAGCAGGAAGAAGCTAGCTTTGAGATCCTGGGGCACATTGAGGAATTCTGGGTAGTGGCTGGAGTAAGGGGTAAGAAAGATAAAGGCCTGGGATGATGCTGGAAAGATGGGTGCTAACGGGTCTTATGAGCCTTTTAAGACTTGAATCTCATGTCTATGTCTAGTAGAAGCCATTGAGCAGTGGGCTCATATTTGCATTTTTAAATGCAGTGTACTCTGACTGCCATATAGATAGTGGATTGGCTCTTTGGGACAAAGATTAGTCTAAGAGATGGCTAAAGCCCACTCTTCTGGCTTCATTATCTTATCTTTAACTTTTAGGTTATGGCAGAGAATCATGGAGTTACAAAGTCTAGAAGTAGATTCCATGTGCAGGTAAATAATCCTACAACATCCATTCATGGCATGAGGCACACAAGTAGAGTTTCACATGTTGGGGATTTAACCTTTACAGTATACCAGTTTCTTCCTAAGTAAAAATTATAATGCTCCATCATGCTCTTGGGTCATGTTTAATTAGGACAGAATTTTGTCCCTAATACTGGTTTTTAGTTTTCCTTAGTAACTCTTCATAGAAGTCTGCAATTCTGGAATTTATCTCAGAACACATCAGAGGCTCTTGAGGCCAACTTCAATAAGTGATTGCATGGATTAAACAAGATTGTGTATTCAATAACTGGTAACTCTTTGCCTTTTCCTTCTTATTGAGGAAGACAATTTCCCCAAGATTCTATATCATTTCCATCTAAACAGGCTCAAATTTCATTAAAATTCTAGCATTCAAGGTTTCAAGATATTGTTGATAGAAATGGAATAAAACCCCAGGATTTGCATGGAGAACTACCAGAAAAGGACTACTGGAATCATTAACATGCTTGAAGGTAATGGAAGTAATTACTTACTAGATCAGTACTTAAAGTTATACCTAATTATATTTCCTGGTAAATAGATCTTACCTGGTTTAGTGAATAAAACTGCTAAATTTATATAAAATGACTTATGTCCTAAAATTATTAAAACATTTTACCTTATTAAGTGTCTTAAACACCTCACACTGTATTTGTATTTTTATTTTTCAATGTTAATTGAGCAAACTTTTTAGATCATTCTGCTCCTCATAAATGCTGAAAAGGAAATATTTAATCCAATCCATGTCAATCATAATAATAGGTAAAACCTATTGGCTGTTTACACTGTGCCAATACTTTTCTTATTTAATTTTCGTGATAACTCAGTGACGTAGGTATTATTATTACCTCCATTTTCTAGAAGAGGAAAACTGAGGTTCAGAGAGGATAAAATATTCCCCCAAGATCACAAGCTTACAAGCAACAGAACCAAGATTCCAATCCAGACACTGTGACACCAGAATCATCTTAGTCATCATCTCATGAGGTGCTTCTCAAATGTCAATTCAAATCCTGACACAGCCTCAACTGTTTGAATCCAAATTTAGGAGTCATTGCATCATGAACACAGGCAGATGAGATTATACAGCTTCGTCATACAAAATAAGGCCACTTACCGTCAAAAGTGTTCTCCCTATAACACATATTCCTTCAAGGGAAGGCACCTGGCAGAACTTGTGTCGGTCTTTATAGCTGATAACTGTGAGAGTAATCCCAGCTATTGCGACAAAGGAACTGAGAACATTAATGGCCATGGCACTTTGTTTCTGGAAAATAGTTACAAATAAACAAACAAATAAATACCAAACATCATGTAAGAAAGTCCTAGTGCCTTCATGGCTCCGGATGCCTCTCAGGGATGAATTGCTTGGTAGGTTAAGTCGTAATTCATCAAAGTCAGAAGACAAACCAAGAAAAAAAAAAAGAAAACCTCTCATGTCAATTCAGTGGATATTTATTGTGCATTTATTGACTGTGTAATGTCTGTTATCGTGGGAAATGCAATGATGCATTTACACAGCCTGCCTTGTCCAGGAGCAGCTGGAGGCTTATTGTAGCAGGTGTTGGAAGTCCACCTAAAACTTAGTCTAAGTCTTACTGCAGACAGGCATTTTGGGGTACACATATGGGCCATCTGTCTTGATCTCAGTCCTTTGCTCTCTCATGGCTCTGTTTAGGCTCCACAGGAATACTGTGTTAGCTAAAGTCACCAGCTATAATGGTTAATTTTATGTGTCAGCTTAGCTAGGCTATGGCTTCCTATGGTTTTGCCAAACACTAGACTACTTGATGCTCCATAATGTAATCAAAGGCAATGTAATGTAATCACCTTCCACAATGTAATCTAACAGAACATGATCAAGCAAGCAACTGAAATGGGCATTCCTTAGGGTAAGGTTTGCTTTCAGACTATAAATAGGTATTTGGGCAAAATT